GTTTTCAATGCCATATTGTGGCATCAGGAGAGATCAAGTAAATTTACTGCCCAGCTGTAATTTCACATCCCATCAAAATTTTATATTCACTCCTTCTAAAAGACCTCTGCTTTAAAAATGCATTTGCTAGCATGTTTGCAGGTGTGACTTTTCCAGAAATCTTCTTTATTTCGGTAGTTCGTGTTTAGGGTGAGATCTTATGCCTGTTTAGGCAGCAAAAAGTCCTCTCTGCTTGTCCCCAGACAGTCTTATTTTTACAACAACCTAGCAAGGTAGGCTAGGCTGACAGAAAGCGCTCAGCCCGTGTCTGAGAGGTGGGCTGACTTCAGAATTTGAACACATGCCTTCCGCAGGCTTGGCGTGATATTTTTCCCGGCTCGGCCTCCCATCGGCCCCATCCCTTATCCAGCTATTGGAAATTGTAGACGCTGGCGTGAAAGAAGGAAGGCTGTTGCCCGTCTCGCTTATATAAGGAGACGGACGGACGAACGGCCTGCGTGACTAAACGGGCCTGGGGCAGCCATTTCTCCGCTTGGACGGTGGAAGCAGCGTGGACAACCCTCGGGCCGCATCTTTCCTCCTGACCTGGATCTGCGTGTGGCTGACTGGCCAGAATCCCAGCTGTCACGCGGGGCTGGTCTCCGGGTGCCCTGCGCCTGTCCCGGGGCTTCTGGACACAGGCACCCTGGAGAGTTGTGTCTCCTCTGCAGTATGCTGATTTATTGATGTGATCATTATTCTAATAAAAGCACCATTCTGTGTGTGTGTGTGTGTGTGTGTGTGTGTGTGTGTGTGTGAGAGAGAGAGAGAGAGAGAGAGAGAGAGAGAGAGAGAGAGACGGGCGGATGGAGTAGGAGAGTTGTCCTGGGAACGGGGTGCAGAATGAGCTAAGCTCCCGAGCTCCCCCTTTTCCCTACAGAAGAGAAATGGCCGATCTTTGCTGCCAGAGCACCAGCTTCAGCGCTGGCTGGGGTTGAGGGGAGCTGAAATTCCGCACCCCAAATATCTCCGGATCAATCCCTCCACCATCCCAGGAAAACTGGCTGTCAAGAAACAGTCAAGGTGGGGTGGGCATTTGTCTGCAACAGAGGGCCTGCTGTTGGCAAACGCCGGTTTCTTGCGCTGCGAAACCTCCAGAAAGCCAAACCCTGTTTGGAATCCAAGATAAAAGCTGCGCGTTTGCAGGGAGGGAATCAAACGGGAATCAGGACAATGGGTGCAGCCAATGGGGTGGATTGTGTGAAAGTGCCCCCCCCAGGACCACGACGGGGTAGGTCTCTGGCGAGCCGTGGCCCTCCTTAGAGCTGGAGGGAACACTAGAGAGCATTTAGCCCAGCCCTTTTGCCAATGCAGGTACTCTGCAGAAAAGCAGCCCTGGAGCTCTCCAGGAGCTGCCCAGTTTCTATAGTCTATATTTTTATTTCATATTATAGCTAATGCCATCTGGATGTATTACAGGGGAAACATCCAGGGCACAGAGCAGTTCGAATTGAAAATGGAATGCAAATAAAATGAGAAAATGGGATACCATTCTGTGTATGGTTTTAGCTTGCAGGAATCCAGCCCCATAAAGGCGGAATTCTTCCACGACTTTGGGATCAGAAACTGTGTGGAGGAGAAAAGAGGTTCGAACATTTCCAGTGCTCCCCTTTAAAATGCTTGTCATGCGCTCAGAGGTGGCAGGGCGAGGACGTTCTCAGCAAAAGTTCAGCCCTGGCAGCCAAAACACTGGAGAACTGCAGGGGTTCAGGATCCGGGGCCCAATCCAGCCTTCCTGAGGTCGCAGAGGGCCACGTTCTCCCAATTATTCTCGGCCTTCCCAACTTGTGCAGTCCTGAGGCTAAAAGGTTGAAAGGTCCCCTCAGGGCCAAACAACTGGCAGCAGGAGCTTGATCTAAACTAGGCTGGGATCTGAGCTGAGCTCCTTCGCCTTTGGCTGTGGATGTGACTGCAGTGTGAGCCCCAGAACCTTCCCTAAAGTGGAATTTGGACCTTTCGGCTGAAATCGGCTGTGTGCACCCGGTGTCGACCGTCCGAAGCTACATGAACTGGTGGTTTGACACTGTAAAACCAGTTTCCGATGCACCCCTTTAAATTGGAACCATGAGGACTAGTGTCTTTATTTTTGGGATGACAGCACAGTGGGAAACTCCATGTTTTGCCTGGAGAAAGTCTGATGGTGGCACCTGGTATGCCCCAGTGTAGCCCCTGAAAGGCCCCTGCAGCGGACAGCGCGGACCCACCGCCAGCCTGATCCTCATCCTGGGATACTGGCCTGGCCTGGTTTGGGGCGGGGGCCCATGTTAGTAAATGCAGGCTTCCCCCTGGGAGTGGCTGTACAGGCTTGGACAGCGAGGACCCTTAAAATCTAATAAGGATATTCCCCCCTAAGTGGCGTGGAGAAGAACCGGAATGTTCTCTGTACTTCTTGGGATGTTCCCAGAAACAAGCCAAGGTAGTCCCAATTTTTTAAAAAATCCAGTCACAGCACGAGAGCAAAGAGCCCCAGAAGCCATCGCTGTTCCCTCTGGCCGACCTGGGTGCCCCCCGGGCTTGCTGGGGGCAAGACCATCGCGATGGGGGCCCAGGGTGCTGGGTTGGGGCGGCAGGCGGAACGAGCGAGGCCTGGGAGAGAGGAAGGGGGCGGCTTTGCCCGGGGGCCCCGGGAGCTCTCCCTAAGCAGCAGGGCGAGGCGGGGCGGGGAGACCCTTCCCCGCGGGCGAGCCCACGAGGGACGCGGCAGAGGGCGAGGGGCGCCCGAGGCAGGCAGCGCGGCACAGCGGCCGGATCCAGCGCCCGCGCTGGCCCCCGAGGTCAGCCTCGCCTACCTTGCAAGGCTGTGGTGGAGACCGGGGGGGGGGAAGGACGGGGGGGGGAGGACCGCGCGCGCCACCGGGGCGAGGGAGAAGCGGCGCCGCCGGGGCAGAATGGCTCGGCCACGCTTCGGGCGAGGCTTCGGGGAGCGCCGCTTCCCCGCTCCTGGCACCGAGCGCATCCCAGCGGGGGTGGCACGGAGGACCCCCGGGCGCCCCCTCCACTTCCCGGGCCTTCTCCACGCAGCCACTCGCCTCAGCGCCCCCCCAGCCCCCGGGGCCCCGCCGGAAGATGGGCGCGCGCGGAGAGAGGCGGCGGCGCGCGAGGCCGCGTGGCCGGCCGGGGGGCGGCGGGGGAGGCTTCTGCGACGGGAGACTACAAGTCCCATGGTGCCCCGCTGCCGCCACGCCGATCCCCCCTCCGCAGCCGGGCGAGGCCACTAGAACTTCCCCTGGCAGAGGCGGCGGGAGCTCCGAGGGTGGGGGAGGCGCGTGTGCCCCGCGCCCCCTCCCCGTGTCGGCCGAGCGCCGCCGCGATCGCGCCCTCTCGGTGCGCCGCCGGCACCAGGGCGCACGGCCGGGGCGCCTCCGCTCCTGCTCCGCCGCCGCCGCGAGCATCGCCGCCTCCCCGCCGCGGGCCGAGGAGCCGCTGCAGGCCCGCATCTGCCCCCGCCCCGCCCCGCCCGAGGCGCCCATGCGGCTGCAGCCCCCGCGACGGCCGCGCCCCGGTGCCCAAAGGATGCTGGCCGCCCCCCCGGCCGCCCGCGAGGACGCCGCCGAGGCGCGCTACCGGCTGCACGCGCTCGTCTGGCACAACCGGCCGCGCGAGCTGGAGCGGGAGCTGGCCTCCGAGCAGGTGCGGGGCGGCGGGCGGCGGGCGGGCGGGCGGGGGCCCCGGACAATGGGGCTGCCCGGCTGCTGCGCGGGGGCGCGGGGGGGAAGGGGCATCCGGGCGGGCGCCGGAGAGGCATGCGGGCGAGCGGGGGAAGGGACGGGGCCGGGCGCGCCGGAGGCTGCCTCCCGCGCGGCGCCGCGGGCATCCCCCGGAGGCGCGCCGGGGCGCTGGGGCTGGTCGGGGCCGCGTCCCGGGGCGAGCGCCGCTCCTCCGCTCCCCCG